ATGAGGTGCTTTTTCATAGGTTATTATACTGACCTAGGTTATTATAGGTTATATTATAGGTTTCATAGGTTATTATACTGACACATTTCCATGGAAACCCTTTTCAGAGTACCATCAATCTAAAAATGAGATTTGGGAACAAAATCCATCCTATACTTAATAACTATTTGCTGAATTTTAATCATTCAAGGCTTTTGTTTATTTATTTATAAGGCAATCGAAGGTCTGAGCTAACACACAGGACTGGATTGCCAAATCAGATTCGTGTGAAACTGTGATCTTATCTGGTATTAAGCTTTACTAAATGTTCCAAAGATTGAGGCCATCAAATTATTCAGAGGACAAAGAGAGAGGTGGGGGACATCAAAGGCACCTGGTAAGCCAGATCTTCCCTCTGTTGGACAGGCATCTCTGGCCCAGAAGAAATGAAGGTTCACGAAGTTCCCCACAAAACAGTGAGAGTTTAACTTGTAAAACATCTCCGTCCTCTACCCCCAGAAAGTTGTACAGCCGAGAGGACATTCTCCAAGGAGGAAGGCCTCACAGCTCCTAGGTTCACATTACCATATAATCTTCCCTTTTTAATATTTTATTTATTTATTTGAGAGAGAGAGAGAGAGAGAGAGAACTCTGAGGGAGAGGCAGAGGGAGAAGCAGGCTCCCCACTGAGCAAGGAGCCTGATGTGGGTCTTGGGATCGAACTGAGCCGAAGAAGGCAGAGGCTTAATGACTGAGCCATCCAGGTGCCCCACATTACCATATGATCTTTAGCCAGGGATATCTTAAAGGCATTTCAGAGTTAAGGTCTCCTCCTCCTAACAGAGGTCAGTACTCTGTTTACTCAAGGGCCCTGCTGACAAGATTAGACGGGAGTCACCTGCCCTCCTTTCTCACCCTCCCTTTCTTCCAAGAAGCAAATGGATTTGCAGGCCAGCTGCTTTCACCCCTTCCTTCCAGGGTTACTTAAGAAGTTGGTGACAGAATTTAGCTTATTCTTACTTGCCCATTGCCTAGCTCCCCAGCATTAGAACCAAATCAGATCATTTTAACAAAACAGCTGAATCACAGAATCTCAGAATAAAACTTCAAAGATACTTTAGTGTAAACTCCTACCCAAAGTTTCTACTTACTATATATCTGTTTTCATATCTATCTGGTTGAAGATATCTTATGGTAGAACTATTTTAAAAGGCCACTGTTATAATCATCTATTTATTTACTGGGGATGTCTCTTCTGTAAAACAGAAGTCTGACCTTCCTCTCTTTTACTGTCCCCAGAGGTCCCAGTTCAAACACCTAAATTAATCCAGAATAAATCTACTCTTCTTCCATTTAATAGTGCTCTCACATTCCCAAGGGCATTTCCAAACTACCATGTCCTACAATTTATCTTTTGTAGGCTGACCTCTCTGGATCCTTCAACTGTCACAGGACAATAGCTTCCTAATCTAATCTCCACTGTTATCTGGCAGCCCCTCCCCCACACCAGGCATATGCAAGGTCCGGGACACCAGATAATGAGCTTGGGTGTGGTCTAACCAGGAAAACTGTCATTTTTGTTTGAATTGGATGCTCTGCCTCCCCTAATAGAGTCTAAATTTGAAACCAGCTTTCTTTTAAAGCAGATGTGACATGCTATTGGTACAACTGAAGTTTTGGTCATTTATCACCTCTGGGTCATTCTTCCCTTCTTATACATTGTCACACCTAAATGCAAAACCTAACATTTATCACTGTTAGGTTCCATCTATTTGTTTCAGCCTATTGCTCCAGCCTGAAAATGTAATATATCATCCAGCATATTATTAGGTCTCCTTCCTAGCCTTGTTTCAGTCATTTGACAGGCTTGTTAAAAAAAAAAATGTGGTAAAATATACGTAACATTAAATTTACCCTTTTAACTACTTTTAAGTGTTTAAGTCTCCAAAATTTTTCTTTTTTTTTTCTTTTTTTAAGATTTTATTTATTTGCGAGAGAGAGAATGAGAGACAGAGAGCATGAGAGGGAGAGGGTCAGAGGGAGAAGCAGACTCCCTGCTGAGCAGGGAGCCCGATGCGGGACTCGATCCCGGGACTCCAGGATCATGACCTGAGCCGAAGGCAGTCACTTAACCAACTGAGCCACCCAGGCGCCCCAAGTATACTCTAACTTTTATCTAAAGGTGTGGTTTGATTGGGGAATGGCATGATCCACAAGAAACACAGAAAAAAATGAAGGCTACCAAAGAGATCAGAACAGGAGTACAAAAGACAGTGGTTTATCCTTAAAAATAGGATTTTAAAGCATAATTGTATTCTCGTCCCTTATGATAAGAAATTACCCTGTCACATTTCCCCTAATAATTAGTATCCTGACTGAGGGGGGGAAAGGTGAATACTAGGAAAAAATCTGTAGGATTTTTACCTTTCTATATAGACAGAAGAGAAGATTCCTTAAGTTCTAAGTTACTCTACCAGAGAATTTTAAAACTCCAATAAATATACTGGAGAGAGGTACAAAAATAGTGATCAAGACATTATATAACCTATATATAACCTATTAAATAACCTATATTTAAGAGGATCTTACTTTTCAACTATTCAGTAGAGCATACATTTAAAACCTACAGATAACTTGTCTCTAAGTTTTAGTTACAATTAGACAATCTTTTGGGGTGTCTGGTTGTCTCAGTCAGAAGAGCATGTGACTCTTGATTTCAGGGTTGTGAGTTCAAGCCCCACACTGGGTGGAGCAATAATTTAAATAAATAAATTTAAAAAAAAAGAAAACCTTTTAAGAAAAGAAGTTACTATAAACAGCTTAAATAGTTGCATACTTATCAAGTCATAATGCTTCCACATACCAGTTCTCATCTTGTAAGTGAAGAAATTCATAAAAGTTTATACAAAATAAGAGTAGTTGTTGCTGTTATTATTTTGTTAACCTTACTTAAATTGCACAAAGTGACATGGGAATTTACTGCGTGGAACAAAAATTTTTCTATAGTTTAAACAGGAAATGTAAAATCTATAAATGACAAAGGATCACTACATCTATAAGCATTTATTTTCTGATTTTTTTGTTTCCCTCTGAATAGATTCACTTTAATCAGATAAATTTACCTCATACCATTCATTTATTTCATACAACAGAACATAGGAAGCCACCAAAAAAGCAATCATCCCCAGAAAACACTGCGGCTGATTTTCTTATCAATAAGGCAAGAGTTAATTTCTTTGCACTTTGATTTTTTTTTAATAAAGGCATAAAAGTCCAAAGAGAAAACAGTATTCATCCCACATAATTAAATACTCAACCCACCAATCCACACACAGCCAGCCTTTTGCCAAGGCTGGGATTTAGGGGCCGAGCAAGAACAGCAGCTCATCGTATTCACATTTCCAAATGCACGTAAGTAACCTGTTATCTTTCATCGGCTTATATTCTTTTCATAGCACAATGGTTATTTGTGACGCATGTTCAGAGAACATACTTCTGCACTGCAGCATGATATTAAACTCACATGGGCACCCACACATTCTTCCCAGATTTAATCAGTATTTTGTTAGTGAGCTTTCATGTTTTTTTAAGCAAGTGGTTAGGAAGCAAGTGCTTGTACACCAAAAACTTAAGACCTGTGAAAGGTAAAAGTCTATATTTTATAACGACTTATAATCTATTAAAATCTAAAAAGAAGACAAACAGTAGGAAATGCCAGTAAAAATAGCCTACTGGTTCAGAAAAATATAGTGATTAATGATACCTTTTGGGTATACATAAGCACTTATTTATAGCATTAAAACTAGCATAGTTTTTTTAAACATTTATATTAATTTATGACTTTAATGGGTGATAAAGAGAGATATTTTTATATATCTGATTCTTGCAGAAATAATGCCAAATTTACATCTTATTCACCAGCTATCTGTGTGGGGGTCAATATAAAGTGGAAGAATATTATTAATACACATTTATATTAATTTTTTAAAAACCCTCCAAATAATCACAGATGTCCAATAATATAAGGATTTTAGTAATACCAAATAAGAAAAAAAAATCCAGTGGTTATATTTAAGTTTTAAAAAGGAGAAAACATGGAATGGTATACCATACTATTACATAAAATTTATATTATTCTAGGGACACCTCGGTAGCTCAGTCAATTAAGTGGCTGACTCTTGATTTCAGCTCAGGTCATGATCTCAGGGTTGTGAGACTGAGCTGAGCTTGGAGTCTGTGTTTCTCTCCCTCCCTCTCTGCCCCTGCTCCCTGCTCTCTCTCTCTTGCATGCATGCACACATGTACACTCTCTCTCTCTCTAAAAAAAAAAATTTATATTATTCTAGTTTACATATGTCTATTATTTCCAAATATCTATTTGGGGACTGTTGGCATATCTAGGTTGAAAAACAACTGATTGTAGAGAAACCTAACAAACATACAAGGGATATAAAATTGCTAATTTACAAATATATAGTGTAGAAAAAAAATTTTAGACATAAAACTTACTATGCATTACTGCCTGAGATTTGCTGTGAGTACCCTCTATTAGCTCAGTCTTGGAATTCTGATGAAGTCTCTGAGCAAGACTCCCCCACTGCTCCAGCCTACTTAAATGTAATTACATATATACATGTAATTGCACAAGAATTAAACAGAAAAGAAATATTGTAGTTGGTTATATAAGAACCTATTCCTAGCTCTGGCTGTTAAGTCATAAATGCATCTAGAGAGACAGGCAGATGTCAATAGCTACGTGATCCTAAAGGTTTTAAGTGAAAATTCGAGAAATTGGGGTTATCTGCCTTAAATTTTATGAATCCAAATAGACACACTAATACAAACACACAAGTCATTATTTTTGTTAATAAACAAGATAACACATCACAACAGTGATCCCTGAAAGCATCTGGAGTTGGTCTTTATAAATTGAGAACTGTAAGTTTCGATTTCCGTTCACCCTTAAGTCATCACTCCCCATCTTGTCTACTTGTCAGGCTACTGTAAATCCTGGCACTCACCAGTACAAAGTGGTATGCATACAGCGCTGTACAATGGTGAATTATAAAATATTTGTCACCAATCACTTTCCAATACAAAATGAGAATCAACAAATCTGAAAGAAGGAAAAATAAGTGAGATATTACATAGGAAGAAGGCTGTACTTTTCCCAGTGTATTTAACTTTCCTCCTTAACAACTTGTCACAGTCCATACTGAGCCCACGGCACTTTGTTCATACTTCACTAGTCCAGTTACCCACCTTATTGTAAAGTACCTGCTTCCACACGACTGTTCCCCCCACTCTACTGTGACCTCCCAGGATGAGGACCAGGTGTGGGAATCCAGCATAGTGCCCACCACACAGGTAATATATTGGTTGAAAATACAAATGAATAACTTGTTTCCAGGGTTAAATAAAACGGAAATGTTACTGAATAAAAATAATTTTTAAATAAGCTTAAATTACTGATGTTTGTGACTACAACAACTCACACAGATAAGATGTTTGGAGAAAAGGTACAAAATGACCAACTCATTCATAACACAAATTCAACAAACTATATTTAAAAATTAACAAAGGATATGATTAAATATTAATTCAAAATAGCAACAAAAACAAAACAAGAACTAAAACTATTAAAAAGATATGCAAAGAAAGAGGTCAAGGCCTCAATTTCTCCTTAAGAGATCCTGAAACCAAACACCATGATTCCGAAAATAGTTTCCCTTAACAAAACAGAATGTTTAACAAAACAGAAACTTCTCAAAATGTTAACACAACTATGTTCTTTACCAAATGGCTACATGTGAAAGGCAGACATGGAGACAAATGGCTATCATGAATGGAAACCAGGGGAGGATTCAAGGCTTATGGGACTGGAGCTTATATAATATGGGAACCTTCTTTTATATATTAAAAAAATGAAAATTACTGATACAAAACTAGATGTGAATATTTTTTAAAAAGTGATCAGATTATAAATTTTAAAGAGAAAACAAACAGTACAAATGTGGAAATCAAGAAAATATAACACTATTAGTAACTGACTGCATGATAGACCTCTCTAGATATATTTTCCCGACGAATTGTAGCTGTACCCTCTTTGGTCACCAATTTCTATGATAATGACCTTATAATATTTTCCATAGAGAGAATAAAAAGAATTCAATTTTCGTTCAGCTTGGTTTAGAAAAGTCGGTTTCAGTTCATAATTCTTTTTTTTAAGTGCTTCAGAGTATTATATTATTTGGGGAAACCTTTATCAAGTTTCTTTCATACAAGACTTTCTGGGTGGTGACTACTCTTTGAACGGACAAGGCTCATGAAGCGGTGCAAGAGGTGTACTATAAATTGTGTGTCATCCTTGTCAATGACAGCATTTTGTGCCAAACAAGCAAATCTTTTTCCAATGTATTCACATGATTCACTCTTCTTTTAATTGGGCCATCAAATAATCCAATTACCTATTCACTATTTTAATTTGAAATTTATCTCTTCCTCCTAATGAATTACTGTGTTTTGGTATAATTTAATCTTTTTGTTATAATTCACTTCTTGATGGCAGAAAATTTTCTATTGAGCCCATCACTCATCTTTATCACTTTTGTTTCATATCCCATTATTTTTATTTGTATTTTTCAGCTATTTATTACATTTAAAAATTATATAATAGGGTTCCCTATATAAAATGTCCAAATCAGGGGTCTGTTCTTTTTCTCTTGTCTTACAGAGACTGTCTAGAATGTCTTTTCAAAAAGTTTAAATGGTATATTCTCACTTAATTTCTCCTTTGTCTCATAGTATAGAAGTCTATTCCAACCCCTTCCCACAGGAGGAGAAATATGACAGAGGGAAACATGGAGTAGAAAGAGTCCATGATCTTAACTGATCATGGCTAAAACAGTTTCCTTTTGTGAACTTTCCCCAAACAATACAAAACTGCAAGCACAGGAACACATTTCAAGGGCCCTTACAAGTGAGAGAAACTTTGATGCTTAAACTTCATTAGCTTCCCAGGAATTCCACCTGAGAGACCCTGTAGACCAAAAAATGGACCATTGCTAGTAAAAAAATACCCAGGCCTAACTGAGGCCCCACTCTGCAGCTCTATTGTCATAGAGAACCAGAGAGCCAACAGGAAAAATGTTTCATGTTCTACCATCACAGCAGGTATTTTTTTCCTCTTATGGGTCCTACAAGTGACTTCTCCAATAAATAAACCAAAAGCATAGACTATGTATTCTTTGTAAAATCCCATGAGTACTTTAAAAAGAAACACAGAGTGGCCAACATATCACATACCAGAAATGAGGTAGCCGGAAGCAATAGAGATATTCACTTTCACAAGCGATGAATCACCCCTATAAATATTAAAAAAAAAAAAAAAAGATTTCCTTTTTTTAGCACATGGTTATAAATGACAGCTACATTTTTTTCCTATTGAGAAATGTAATTAAAATGCTCTCTATAGATTCTTGAATGGTAAATTGTCATTTGTACCAGGCCCTGTGTTAGCTTGAAATACTTCTAACTGCACAAATAATCATAATTTCTTATATTAGCTATAAGTTCTATATAAATAATTTTACCAAAAGATAACTTTTTATAAATGTGTTCTCATATGATTTGTTTGTGAAAGAATTCAAATGAATTTCCAGATGCTGGCTGGTTTTTGTTTTTGTTTGTTTTTGTTTTTTATTCCTTATTCTAAATCAGAGATTCAAATACTCAAGAAATCATCTAGCCTGCCCCTGATCTTAAGGCAATATACTAGATCAGTATCACTTTACTGATGACTGGAGAGATCTGCCTATTGTCACACAACTGGAAAATGGTCACACAGGACAGTTTAATCCTGCTGTTTCGACACTTATATATATCAAGATCCTACAATTTGCCCTAATAATTATCTTTACTCCAAGAAACAAATACGAACTATCAGTCTTGTGTTTGGTTTATAATGTAAACTACTGCTGAAATGAACACAAAATTAAACTGATAACAGCTAAATTGCAAATGGAAAGGTTTAGCAGAAGTCCTGTCTACTTTACAAATTCTGATCTGCAAATATGACCCAGGAAAATTGAACCTGGACTAAACTGCAGCATTAAGGAAAATGTAAAAAAAAGAAAAAAAAAAAAAGACTCTCTGTCCGTTCATAGAGTAGTCACCACCCAGAAAGTCTTGTATGAAAGTATAATTTTTTTTTTATAAAATTATACTATGGGGCGCCTGGGTGGCTCAGTTGTTAAGCGTCTGCCTTGGGCTCGGGTCATGTTCCCAGGGTCCTGGGATCGAGCCCTGCATCGGGCTCCCTGCTCAGCAGGAAGCCTGCTTCTTCTCCCTTTCCCACTCCCCCGGCTTGTGTTCCCTCTCTTGCTGTGTCCCTGTCAAATAAATAAATAAAATCTTTAAAAAAAAAAATTATACTATGTAAAAGTTTGATAAGGACAAAAACTGACCAGTGAATTAAATCTTTGTCATAAAATTTATCTCCCAAAAGAACTGGTTCTGTTGACAATCATTACTACAATAAAATTAGGAGAAAAAACTTAGAAACAGTTTAGGTAGATTACATAAAAACCTCATCATGGAATTAACACTAAATTGAATCATTTTGAAAAATACCTTCCCAAAGAAAACTTATCAATACTGGTAGAATTCTGATGGGCATAATTCTGTATTTATTAAAATGATATTGTTGCAAACAGTCAAAAATTAAATTGTCCCACATCCTCCAGAGTCCGTATCTACTACATTTACGCAGTGCTTTCGCAAACATACCTCATCTCTCAAACTAAGCTGAACTAAGCCTTCTTGTATAATGCCAGGAAATACAGTTTGCAATATCTCTGCCATTGGAATGACATTTAAAATTTTCAAAGAGTGATCTTAGAAATTATCCTATTATTGCTGAACATCGTTATTATCAGTATTTCAAATCTTTTCATGCGGTACTAACTTCCTCTTACATGGACATCTATAATCCTCATTTTTATCTTTGAGATCAAATGATGGGTTAAACACAAGACTGAGTCTTAAGTAGATTATTATCCAACTTGACTATCCTATCTCAATAGTTAACTCATTTTTGCTCAGAACAGTGGTTACAACAACTTGGTTTTACTCACTAACTCAGTATAAATGTTTACATCATCATCATATTCTCCTGTCTTGGATAACAATTGTGACACTAGTACAAAGTGGCCCTCATTATTTGTATTCAAATATAAAATAAATCCTTTATTGCACCTTGCTGAAATAAGTCTGAACACATGCATTTTAATAAAACATGCGCCATCAATATGTTTTCCATTTGAAAGTAAGAAATGTTCTTATTAATAATTAATATCAAAACATCAATCAAATTGACTATATTGAAAAGAAACAGCTTACCAAAGTGGATCAGCCTTTGCAACCTCATCAAAAATCAAAATGTACAGGCCAAAAAGCCCAACCACCAAAGAATGGCATGTAGATCCTACCCTGAAATGAAACAAAATACATACAAAGATTTTAGATTCTTTGCAATGAACTGTATTTCTGTCAAAACATTTAACATTTTGAAGAAGTTAAATCTGGAAGCATTTAAATATAGGAATGGAGTACATCTAAGAGTATAATAATACAAAACTGCCATTTAGAAATCCAAGGGCTATGAGTTTACTTTGGAATTAATAACAAGAAAGATGCCCAGGTCTACAGTTTCCTGCTAGAAAATTGTGGAATCACTTATTGGTTAAAAATTCCAAAGCAGGGGTGCCTGGGGGGCTCATTCAATGCATCCGACTTGATCTCAGCTCAGGTCTTGATCTCAGGGTCATTGAGTTCAAGCCCCATGTTGCGCTCCACACTGGGCATGGAGCCTAGTTCAAAAAAAAAAAAAAGTTCAAAGCAGAAGCTTATCTGATGGTGCAGTTGACAGAGTTCTGTACAGATAGACGGCAACTGGCAAGTCCACTGCCCAGCACCTTGCTCCAAGCCCCATCCCTACCAGCATCACTGCAGCATTAGTTTCCTGCTCCAATCAGTGAGGAATAACTTCCAAATCTACTGACCTTAACCAATTCTAAATCCCTGAATCAGAATTTGAATGGATCGTGAAATGAAAATGTATTGCCTTGGAGATTTCAGTGTTAAATGCACATTCCCATGCATGCTACACTTGGTTCCTGTAACCAATCCATTAGAAAGCTAGAGCAGCTATTATGAGTCTCTTTTTATCATTATTATGAAACCACTTCTAAATAGAAAAATTGAGGACCATGAATTTATACAGAAAATCTATTTTTAAAAGAAATGCTCAAGTGAAAGCAAAATTTTGTTCACGAGATCCAGGCTGAATTCTCTTTTATAGAAGGAATAAGGTTTAGATGAAAAACATCAGTTTCTATGAACATATCTTGCTAATAATTTAATGGATTAACCTAACACCCAAGCTCTACGATATGCTACTTAAAGAAGTCTACATAGGATACAATATCTTTACTCACACAATGAAAAAGTTTATAAGAAATGAAGTTTCTTTTCTCTTCATTAGAATAAAGGAAAAAAGGAACAGCAAAATTTTCTTTAGAAATTAATAGGATGTAAGAAATTTCTGTCTAAAATATGACCCCAAATCTTTAACAGTGACATATATCAACCAATCTGGAGCTTGATATTAGAAAATCTTATAGTAACTTGAAAAATCAATATGCTTGATCTAATAGATGATGTGGGCCTAAATAGATATATCATGTTAAATCAAATCATATTTAAATGATCAAAGATCCTCACTAATTTAAAGGCACTGACAAAGAATACTTTGCAATACCAAAGGAACATTTTGACGTGTGAATAGTTAACCCAATTTATCTGGTTTACAAGTCTGGAATTTTCATGTCAAACGTACCTATGTTCCAAACATAGCTGTTTAAGGATGTAAGTTCTTTTATGTCAAATAAGACACTCCATCTAAATACTCATACAACCAGCTTTCTATTGCCATTCAAAAAGTCTATGAAAGCAGAAAGTACAACCTCTCACTAACTTGTTTTAGTGTTTAATAAACTTATATCAAAAAGCTTCCCCTTGGAAAAATGAGAACTTTTTGTTCCTGATACTCAGCCCTCAAATTCCCTTTGTGTTGAAATGTTACATGGTAAATGGGAAGGATTACAAGCCCTTAGCTGATGGAAATGGCATATAATTCATGAGAGAAAAGTTAAATCTTATTTGGATCAGGAAAAGCAAATACCCTCTGCTTACATACTCTCCTGCATTAAAAGTCTATACTTTCAGAAACTTCTGTTTAGTAAACATTTCACAGTCTATTCTTTAAAATCAGACTCTTGGCAAAGCAGGGTGTAGATTCCTTACTGTCTAAAATGAAACACCAAGATGCTACCCAAAAGAAAATTTTTTTTTCAAAGAAGATTAAAAAGAAATGTTTGTGCTAATAAATAGACAGGGAGATAATGGAAATAATGACCATTGTAGAATAGCAATTTAAAGTTACTGATTTAACCATTTGCAAGTAGTAGGGGTATTACCAATAGAAATTATATAGCCCAAACAGACAAGAGTTAAAAATTAGAGAAGCGGATTTTAAAATTAGGAGTATTTCAACACAATAGGACTTCCTATACCATAGAAAACAAGTGGATATAAGAAAATGTTTTTTAATTGTAAGATATAAATAATACCTGTAAGTATGTATTTTTTTTCTGAAAAAGCAACAAGTAAGTACAGCAATTTATCACTTATATTTAATTAAACTGTCATCTCTCAGGTGTGAATTTTTTGGTGAGTTGTTTTTCCTCCTGTCCTTTTTCTACTGTAGGGCTTAGACCATGCATTGTTCAGAGACTCTTTCCTGATTATTAGTAAGAATTATGTGGGTTGTGCTGATCTGGGTGTTTCAAGACTGGAAGGTGGATTTCAAGACATATACATGTACTTTACTCAAAAAGCAGCAAATCTTTTTTCTTTCTTTACACTCTACCTCACAGCTTAAGTCTCATGTAAACCAAACTGGAGTGGGAACAGGAGTAAATGTGAGAGAGAAACAGAGAGAACTCCATTTGAATAGGGTAATGAATATTCTATAATCCCAGACTCCTTTTTCAAATAGGAACTCGGTTTCCCAAGTGGTGATTCTGTGCACCACAGAATGGCAGTGATAAGACTGAATAATGCAAAGTATTTTTCAATTTCATTTCATTTCATCTTTGCCTCTATCTCTGTACCGTCCCTACTTCGTTGGCTTGCTGCTCTCCAAGATTCAAATGCCCTTACCTACCCTAACCATGTGAAAGGGAAATGAAAATAGTTCAAAATTTACTCTCAGAAAATCTGTCTCCCATCCCGCTCCTCGCCTCTTCTTCTCTCTCCCTCTTCTACCTATCTTCATGTTAGAAAGGGTTTTAAAAAATAATGGCTAGTATCTTTTGTATCCCACTTGTGAACAACATCTTTGTACTATTTTTAAGATTAAAAAAAAAATCATACTTCTTGTTTTTCAAAACTACATGGAGAAATAATTCTCACTTTTTGGGTAAAAGGAGCTATAGCGTGTATGAACCAGAAATATCAATGTAAGGTGCAAGAGGAAACAACTGAAGTCTTAATCACAGTCTGAGTTACAAAGTGGATGCCTACGAACCAGCCTGGCTCAAAGATAAGGGATTTCCTGTCAAATGTGACCATTCTCAAATAAATACTTAGACTCTGGCAGAAGTTAATTCTAAAAGGAAATTGCAATGAAAAATAATTACAGCAATTTTAGAGACCTGCTGAATTCATTTTATAGTTAGCGTTAACTTCAAGTAAGTAACAACAAAAAATATACCCATAGCTGCTCTAATTCACCAGTTTGCAAATGCACGGTGACGTGGGGGCGAAAAGCTCTCAAGCACGTGAAACGGTCATCAGAGTCATTTTGTGTTTGAAATGTTGTGAAAGGTTAATGAGTTGCACACACAAAAAATCTGTAAGCCAACTAATTAAAATTCCCATAGATTTCTATACCCTTATAGGTACTACTCATTTTACATTTTTTTCTTTTGCCTTAAATAAAATCTAAAAAGCAATTTTTACTTTAACAAAAAAAAATAGGTTCCAATGGGCTCTGAATTATAATGAAAAGTTCATTAAAAGAGAGATACAGATGTGCTAACCATATACCACACTCTGGTATAGCATTTAACTGCCCTCAGTCTGGCTAAGCCAGCCAACACTATATATAGGCTACTCACAGCCACAGCTAACATTCACTTCTGCGATCACTTCCAGAGAGCACGTGTTTGTTATCATAAACGTTTCAGAGGAGAATGCAAAACAGGACTCTTCTGCAGTCAGCTGGAGTCTCCTTAACCTTCCCATGCTTCCCCAGAAAGTTCAATTTTTGCTAACATCTTTCAATAGAAGACTTTTTATAATTTTCTTGTATGAGATCTATCTACTTACTTTCCTTTTATTCGTAAGGTCAAATAAAAGATCTGACCTTAAATTTTGTTAGATCTTAAATGAAAGATTTTTTGGAAATATTTTAAACAGTTTTAGTTCATAAAACTAACTTTTTAAAATCAGTTACATTTTCAGATGCTTTACCTTGAGTTCCATTCAATCTTCTTCTCAAAGCTGAGACTATTAAAACCTGGAGAAACTTTTGCTGAAAACCAGAAACTTATAAAGTAGAAAAGAAGCTGAAAGGTGAGAAAGCTGGTAAAAACAGTGCTGAAGATCAGTTTGGTGTTGGTGTCCATATTTCTTCAACCTGTTAAGAAAAAACAATGGCTTTCAATTACTTTAAATTGCTCATAAGAAATCTAAATTAATTTTTTTAAGAGTATGTGCTTATATTTTTAGTAATTTATCTTAATTTAGCACAAATGTAAGAATACAAAGAAACTAATAGACTTTTAATTCTTTACCAGCTATTTGTCGTGTATCTTGTATTTGTATTTAAAATTAAAAAGGGAAAAATTATCCTAAATATCTGTTATCAATTTTAGAAGGCAAATTTAGCAGCATGATTTTCAAAATTATCTAAGTCTTTGAGTTTAATATTAAGAGAGCATTTCAAGTACTATAACTGAAGGTATTCTTTTAGTAACATTTTTAATTAAACTTAGGAAAAATCACCTGATTTCTCTATGCCTCAACTTCCTCATCTATAAAATGAGTCCATTAGATAATTTCTAGAAACAATTAGGCCAAAATCATTATAAAGCTAAGATTATCTACAATATCAAAACAAAATAATTACATTATAAAAACTAACTGTACAGTGAGACAAATGACATTTAAAACAAAATTAAAATCTTAATAAGAATAATCCCATCTTAGAAAAGAACCATACCACTGTTGCTGCTTAAATTAGTATTTAACTTTTAAAAAGTATTCTGCAATCCCACACATCCTTGGACCAAAAATCCTCCGTGACTTTGTATCTCTAAAATAAAAGATTTTTATAAAAGAGCTTCAGGTTTTAAGGGTAGAGTTAGCAGAAAGAATAGTAATATGCATATATACACATTTAGAGTATTTTTTCCTATCACTGAACTGAACTTTATTTGGACCCTAAAAATCTTAGGAACATTCAAAAGAAAGACACTAAAGCATTTGCTCATATCCAGCAAATACAGCATTTCTAGAAATGGCTCCATCTTTGATAGGGCTGACCCTCAAATGAAAAGGAAATGAATCGATACATATTTCCAGCTGCCTAATGTGAAGAAATAAAGTCCCCTACTGAAGCCAATTCACTAGAGAAAAGCCAAGTCATTGACTGCACTAGCAATAACCCCACTTCATTCCCTTCCAACCAGGACCTTGTAATAAGAATCAGGCTCCCACAGGGCCCCTTCTGACAGAACTCATGTGTCTGTAATGAGTTCTTTCCCCATTCTTTCTTTCTGGTGTGTGTGCTCAGTAAAAATATTGATATTACAATTCTCCTCCATGAGATTCCATTAACTTTATTGCTCATTTACTTTTTTTTTTAATTCAACATGTGTTTTAGGGTATTAAAAATTTAATTTGTGATCTTTTAGCCTAGGTTTAATATTAACCAATACATAAAAGTTTTGTACATAAATTAAACATCATTATAATTCACTAAGTAAGATGTAAAAGAGAAAATGGTTTTCTAAGCTTAAAGCAAATGGGGAACTGGAGGCCAGGTGGGCAGATAAATGAAGAAAATGAAACCAGTAACCAGAAAAGAGTGGAGAGTGTAATCTTCAGTGTGAGGATGGTTTGCCCCAAAGGGTTCTGTATGTTCCCTGCTAGTCCTGGAGGGTGGCTGGACATGAGCTACTTACTTACTTTTGTTAAAATTCAACTATATAATGAGCATTTGTTTCATTAATGTTTGCTAAAGTTATAGAACAGTAGGTATCACACAACATTATCCATTTTATGAACTATTAACTAGTACATTAACAAAGAAGCACTCGAACAACTCACCATTAAGAAATTCCTCATTCCTACTGGAAGAACAAACATTATTAAAATGGCTGCACTACCCAAAGCAATCTACCCATTTAATGCAATCCCTATCAAAATACCACCAGCATTTTTCACTGAGCTAGAACAAACAATCCTAAAATTTGTTTGGAACCACAAAAGACCCCGAATAGCCAGAGGAATGTTGAAAAAGAAAAGTAAAGCTGGAGGCATCAGGATTCTGGACTTCAAGTTATATTACAAAGCTGTCATCATTAAGACAGTATGGTACTGGCACAAAAAAAGACACCTAGATCAATGGAACGGAATAAAGAGCCCAGAAATGGACCCCCAACTATATGGTCAACTAATCTTCAACAAAGCTGGAAAGAATATCCAATGGAAAAAGGATAGTCTCCTCAAGAAATGGTGTTGGGAATACTGGACCACTTTCTTACACTGTAGACAGAAGTAAATTAAAAATGGAGAAAAGACCTAAACGTGAGACAGGAAACCATCAAAATCCTAGAGGAGAACACAGGCAGCAACCTCTTCGACCTCAGCAGCAGCAACTTCTTCCTAGAAACATCGTCAAAGGCAAGGGAAACAAAAGCAATAATGAACTACTGGGACTTCATCAAGATAAAAAGCTTCTGCACAGTGAAAGAAACAATCAACAAAACTAAAAGGCAGCCTAGGAATGGGAGAAGATACTTGCAAATGACATATCAGATAAAGGGCTAGTATCCAAAATCCATAAAGAACTTATCAAACTCAACACCCAAAAAACAAATAATCCAGTTAAGAAATGGGCAGAAGACATGAATAGACATTTTTCCAAAGAAGACACAGATGGCTAACAGACACATGAAAAGATGCTCAACATCACTCGGCATTCGGGAAATACAAATCAAAACCATGATGAGGTATCACCTCATCCCTATCAGAATGGCTAACATTAACAACACAGGAAACAACAGATATTGGTGAGTATGCAGAGAAAGGGGAACCCTCTTACACTGTTGGTGGGAATACAGACTGGTGCAGCCACTCTGGAAAATAGTATGGAGGTTCCTCAAAAAGTTAAAAACAGAATTACCCTATGACCCAGCAATTACACTACTGAGTTTTTACCCAAACAATACAACGGATACTGATTCAAAGGGGCACATGCTCCAATGTTTATAGCAGCACTATCAACAATATCCAAATTATGGAAGAGTCCAAATGTCCATCGACTGATGAATGGCTAAAGAAGAGGTGGTACAGACACACACACACACACAATGGAGTATCACTCAGGCATCAAAAGAATGAAATCTTGCCATTTGCAACGACCTGGATGGAGCTAGAGTGTATTATGCTAAGCAAAATAAGTCAGTCCGAGAAAGACAAATACCATACGATTTCACTAACACATGGAATTTAGGAAACAAAACAGATGAACACATGGGAAGGCGGAAAAAAGAGAGAGGGAAGCAAACCATAAGAAACTTTTTTTTTTTAAGATTTTATTTAACTGAGAGGGAGAAGGAGAGAGAAACAGAGAGAGCACGTGCGCGTGCACAAGCAGGGGGGAGGGGCGAAGGGAGAGGGAGATGCCGAGCTCAATGTGGAGTTCAATCCCAGGACCCTGAGATGATGACCTGAGCCGAAGGCAGATGCTTAACCAACTGAGCCACCCAGGCACCCCACCATAAGAGACTCAACGACAGAGAAAAAAACCCTGGGTTGATGGAGGGATGGGGGTAGGAAACCACTAAATGGGTGATGGGTATTAAGGAGGGAACTTGTGATGAGCACTGGGTGTTACAGGTAAGGGATGAAACACTAAATTCTACTCCTGAAACCAATATTACACTATATGTTAACTAACTAGAATTTAAATAACAACTTGGAAGAAAAAAAGAAGAAATTCCTCATTCCTAAAAAAGCCAGTTTTTGTTAAGTCTTTGTTATACTGGCTATTTTATATTTTTAATAGATATACTTTCACTTAACTGGGGTCTTTGGGGTACATGTTTGAGTCTCCCTTTGCAAAAATGTTTCATTTAAAACTAAAGAGCTCCATATAGTCGAGTTGTGGCTTCTATTAAAGGCTCAACAGACAGAAGCTATAATTAAATTGTTCTACTCCCAGCTTTGCTTCTTATTAAGCAGCTGCTTGCTTCATCAGTCATGCCAAATCAAGGACAAATCCAGTGATTTTTTTTATATGTATTTCCCCAGAAAACCAAGGCTTCTGGTAGAAAGCAAATGCTCCTCTTCACTGAATCAGGCAAGAAAAGGGGAAAATGGATAAAAACCAAACAATGCTCATTACTGACATAGACTGAGAACCTTGGTGAGTTAGGTGACTATTAAGTAGAAGAATACACTGTAAAGATAGAAAAGTATCATGGTTTGGTTCATGCACCTCTACATGTGGCTGGGATATTACCCTAGGAAGGAACAGCCAGAACAGAAGTGGGAAATATTTCTGTGGCAATTTACAAGGGGAGTGTCTAGACATGAACTTTACAATGTAATTAGCCCATCTTGATTCACACCAAAGAAACTCTTCCAGTGGCCTCCTGAATACAAATGATATTTGAATGTTTTCTCCCAAGACAGTTTCCATAAACTTTAATTCAAGCAGGTTTCTTAGAAGAAAAACATGAAAAGGTTTCAAGTACGCCTCTCCACCATTAACTTATGATAACCCTTCTCCGGCAGGACTCCCAGAGGCAGGGCCACTGGAAACAGCACAGCCAGGATGACTCAGCCCTCACTTCAGCCAACAGTTCATCCGACATCTGTCACATGTCCACCAGACAGGCCCTGGGCCAGAACTCAGAATACAAAATGGGGAACATGCTTATAGGCCAGGAGGGAAGCAAAGAAACCAATCACCACCACACAGAGTGCCAAGCTCAGGGTGCTAAGGGGGTATTCCCTGTTTTCAGTGAAATAAACACCCAGCAGAGAGGACACATAAACAGTGAGGAGATACCAGAAGGTATTCACTGTAAACCAACAGGACATCTTCTCTTCTATTAAAATCCGAAAACCCTTTAATGCTGAAGTGTAAGACTCAGTTCCACCAGCTGAGTCTAGAACTACTGACTTGGGAACACAAAGATTATTCTCATTGCCCATGTTCATTATTTCCTTGTAATACAAGGGCTTCTCTAGGGAGTATATCAGAATGCCACCTCAAAACACATACACAACTTCACTCTTTTCCATTCTGACACAACATGAACCACTGCAGAGTGGTTAGCAGTAAAAACATTAACATGAAGAGGAAATGGTCTCGTGGGGTTGTCTTTAAGGGCAGCAAGGAAG